AGTGGCAGAGATGTGGATTGGAAGTGGGGGAGGGGTACAAATGTGTCCCTTCTTGCGTCAATCTCGTCCCATCCCTCTTGGAAAAATATACATCATGGTAAAAAAATTAATAGCCTTTTCGAACCAAAAAAATAACTTAGTCTTCTTCTCCCTAGCGTTAGTCCCGCGCCGTCGGAGGGTCCCATGTCTTTGTAGGATGTCAATTGTTTCGATTCACTGCATCTTCTGCCGTAGAATTTACTTCGGTGAGGTCTATCTTGATGACATCCCTCCATCTTTTCTTTGTTCCCAGCCAGAAGATCCTGTTATCACTGCACCTTGTCCTGGAGTTTTTTTGCTGATATCCGCTATCAGGGCGATGTCGTTAGCGGGGCCCTCCCCTATGAGTTCCTATGCCATGACACGAGGGGTGCATACAGCTGCCTTCACCTTCGAGCACAATGCAAGGCAGGCGATCGAATGCCTTCTCAAGGTCCAGGAAGGGTAGGTAGCAAGGTTGTCGCTTCTCTCGTACCTCTCCATCACCTGTCTGGCGATGGAGATGGCATCAGTGAAGCCATCATGAAGCCGAACTGCTCCCGCGAGATCGGGATAAGTGCGCCAAGCCTTGAGTGGACCAGCCGCTCCCAGAGCTTCATGGTATGCGGAGGCAACTTGTTGTTGCGGTAGTTTGAGCTTGCCGTAGGGTCTCTTTTCTATTTGGAGATGGGGACGATCACTACTCCTCCTCGCATCTGGCACCCTTCCTTCTCACCATCGATTGTTACGTTGTTCAGGAAGTAGGTGAGCCAACATACCCCACGCTCTACAAGGGCCCTCTATGCCTCTATCGGTACCCATCTGGATCCATTGCATTCCTATACTTCATTCTTCCTGACTCTCTGTGGCCTCATCTCCTGTTCAGGGTCACCTCCATCGGTGGGCTGTCCTTGTGGGGGAATTCCTCTTTCAGTAGTCCCTCGAAGTAGTCTTCCCATCTTTTCCAGGCATAACACAGATAGTGCGTGGACAAAATCGTGCACGACACCACGAACTAAATTAGCAATTCGATTAGTTTGACGCAGAACCACTTCTTTTTGCCCCTGCAAACAAACTTCCTGCCGTTTTCCCTATGAGATCTTATCAACTGTGCCAATCATGGCCTTTATTTCATGCCTCAGTAATATGCAAGCAGTGAATCGAGCAGTCTGACCCGATGTAACAAGATGAGGTTATAGGGCGCAGTTCGAAAAGACCTTCTTTTCCAGTTGCTCATTTCTTTTTAGTGGTTGTAGACAACCTGTCTGGAAAACCGTGTTAGCTCGTATGTCCTAGAAGTCGAAAATGCACCTACATATGGCATTTCGCAGCTTAGGTGGATCGCAAGGTGGTCGTTTGCCAGTGTAGCCTGGGCTGACCTTTTTTCATCTGCTTCTTCTGAGCACATTTGGCTTTCCATATCTCTGAGTACCGATGGATAGATGGATCACTTGGAAACTTAAATTATGTCATCAAAAAATTTCCTTTTTTTGTGCTGTCAATATGGGCTAGGCTTTCTTCATCGCGACTACCATTTCACTCCTTGTCGAGAGCTACTTTCATACTTTTCGATCAGCTTTTGAGCGTTTCTAGGTAGCGTATTTAGTATAAATCAGGCGTTTGAGAGCATTGCCAGCATTTGATCAGGCCTTTCCTAGTAACTTTAAAACCCTGTTAAACGCTTAGAACGCTGACGCAAAGTGTGAACGCTTTCTTATAGTCTGCTTCCTCTTGATCTTCTTCAAGATGGTCACACTAGCAGAATGGCCCGAGTTGGCCGTTGTAACAAAGACAACGATTTCGAGACTTGGGCTCAGAGCCTTGATCTTCAAGAAAGAACTTTTTTTTTTCCTACTTGAGTGGACCGATGAGCTTTCAAGAAAGTTGTCTTTTGAGAAGGTACTAACTGGTTGATCATGGTTCAGTTTGTGGCCAGTAAAATCAGCAATATTCAGGAATCGCAGTGACTCATTAGTATAGCGGGTTGTGGAATGTCATATCTTTCACCTTCAATTGTGTCTTGTTCACAGCTCACCAAACTTGTGATCATACGAAACGAACTGGTTTCTGTTCCCGAGGATTTAGGTGAGTTACCTGTGTCCATATTGCTTCCAATTTCAAAGGCAAAGATTCAGGTACCTTATCGAAAATTGGTTTTCATTGATCTTAGCACTAACAAGTTGGAACGATTACCGGCCTCGTTTTCAAAACTTACCAAGCTTGAAACCTTGGTAGCATCCGGAAATCAGGTGAAATTTCATGCTGCAATTTCACAGACACTTTCAAAAACTTATTTGCTGGTTTTCTGACCGAGCGAATTCCTTTAACAATTGTGCGTTTCTTCTGTCTCACATGTGACATTCGAATCAACGAGTATACAGTCGTGGATGGGCACTCATACTAGGAAGCGACAGATCGTTCGAGCGTCCTTCAACGCCACTACTGAGATAGTATGAATATTGATCTAGCAAACGGCACGTCCACCACCGTTAGCAGCGTACACCAGCGACTGGGAAAGTATGGATATTGATCTAGCGAACGAAAGCGTCCAGCAGAAGCCAGCAAGTGGAGTATGGGGAAATAGGAGGCTAGCAGACTGACGCCGTAGCCATATGGGAATTGTAGAAGGGAGCAGACAGCGGGTTAAGAGTCGCGCAATTACGTCTGGTGCAGACCGCACCGTACAACTACTAAGAAGCACAGACGGTTGTTGATAATGCTGTTTTCGCCGCATGCGGATACTGCGGCGTAAAACAGCAGTTATCAAAACAAAAACAGTCTAAAACTTGTAAAAAGCCTTCAGCCTTGCGGTTCACTGCCGATATCGGCTAACCGGCTCATCACGTTGAACGTGTGAGTGCTCGAAGGCAATGGCACAAATAGCCATTGAGCTGAGAGGTCAAAAGTGGCCCCGGTAGCGTAAGTGGTAACGCAACTGCCCGGTAAGCAGAAGATGCGGGTTCGAGTCCCGCCCGTGGTCCGACTTTTGCCCACAACTCAGCATTCTTGTGATAACTTAAGCACAGAATTATACGTTTGATGTGCCGCGCTTTCTATTAGTATTGGTGTGGTTGGATCACGCCGCAATTTCGCGATACCAAATCCAGCTGTCTTCTCCTCCCACTCCCCATACCGTACCAGCAGTCTGCTACCCTCCTACTTCCCCATACTCTTCACTCCTGGACGCTGATGGACGTTGCCACTTGCTGGATCAATCACTACACCTTCCCTAGTCGGTGACGCTGACGGACGCTGGAAACGCTGGTGGTCGCTGGTGGACGCTGACGCAAAGCAGACCGTCTAGATTCTATTCGAAAGGAATTGTATTCATGATCTCTGGCGCTATAGGACGGCCTCTTTCTTCGATGTCAAACTGGATGCCGCCATTCCGTGAGTATGTGTGACGGTGATGGGTTTACTGTAAGTTTGTTATCCTAGAAGGGTTCTTCTATCGCTTTCATGTACGTCCTACATCAGCGGCTGTGTGGTTGTGTTATTGTGTTACGGATTTCAGTTGAGACGGTGCGATATTCGACTTCGGTCCTGTGTGTTGATTGAACGGCCTGCCATTGTTCTTGATTTGTCTCATAACAAGTTTGCACGACGAGACCCCCCGGCGTCCCCCCCCCCCCGCCCCCCGATCGGGTGTTTTGACAAGAATGAGGAAACTCGTCCACTTGCCAGCACGTTGAATCTGCCTCATAATAAATAACCGAGGAGAAGATATTTAATATATCAACCAGTAAAATATATATATATGTACTCAATCAAAATCAGCCAAAGTTCATACTAGGTGACTCCGGAACTCAATGTGATCGAACAACATGAAACTTGAATCTCTCGAGAATGAAATCATCCTCCTACTGGGGCAATGGTCAGATGGAAAAGATCAAAGTTTTGGATTTATCACTGAATCCGTTCAAGGATGGACGCTTCAAGAAACTCGCCAATGACAAAAGGGCTAAGGTGCGGTGAAGGTATTTGTGCTCACAGTAACCTATACCTTATCTACTGAGAAATGAGTTTACTGTTAATTCTCAATTAGGTTTCCGCTGTGATTTCGTATATTGCGAAGAATGCGCCTAAAGTTTCTAAGAAGCCCTCAGCAGAGACCGATTCTGCGGATGCAACAGCTGCAAAGCAATCAGCAGAAGATGGAGCTTTGCTTGTCAGGATAGGTGCTCCAAATGTAAGTCTTGCGACTTTTAAGCAATATGGGGGTGTCAATGGGTGCACTGTAATCTAAACTTCTGTTCGAAATTCATTCCTTTAGGCTGACTCGGCGCGGTTTTTTATGAAAGTATTGGGGAAATGGGCTTGGGTCGCGTCCTGAACAAGCAATCTGGTATCGATCGACAGTGGCCACTGCGTCGATTCCCGTCTGCGGCTACGTTCGTCTATAGGTTTGGAGCCTGTCACAAATTTAGAGCGCGTCATTGCGTGTCCCCGGTCTTAAAACGCGTTACGCGCGTTGATCCGAACTCTGAACGCCATCTGATTGTGAGAGGCGATGTAGCCATCAAATGAAAGAGTAGCATGGTGAGAGGCAGACTTCAGAACTCTTCACTTGCATGAAATTTGCGCTTATCCGTTTATAATAGGAAGTCTGATCAGCAGATATTGCTAAACGTCTGAGAAAGTTTTCCACCATCAAGTTCACAAGAGAACTTCGAATTATTATGCCGTTTTTGTGCACTAGAAATAAAACTGAACATGTATTTCGGATCTTGCACATATAGCCCACATGTGGGAGAGAACTGTCGTAGAATACCACTGATTCCGAAATCTCTCGCTCAAGCATCTAAATGAGATAGGTAATGTGTAGTCACGAAAATGTCTCCAATGTTTCGTGGATAAGAGGATGCCCATTTCAGACAGTATCAGCGTGCCACAGCGCCAAACCCGCTCTCTGCCAGTGGCTGAGGCCACTATGCGACAACAAGTGGTAGAAAACGGCTGATACGAACGATATGATACAGTCTTGTCACTTGCTCGCTTCAACAACTGGTGGAGAACCGATTTAACAGCGCGCGTCAAACTCATCCCGCCTGACACGCCCAATCGTCTACAGCGATACACACTGTACCAGTATGATGGGCGGGTTTCGTAGCGGGTACGCTTCACGTCGCGCGGGACAAAATCGTGCTGCAGTTGGCACGACATAGTATTTCCTCATAGCAGGGTATTTCCTAAATTAATCGGCTATGTCGTGGTGTGCGTCTGTCTGCTGTACGAAATTCATAGCCCACCTAAAGAAGAGCCTGCGGGGTGGGTCAGGTGGCGGATGAATGTGATGGACAAAACCTAAAATAGCACCTACCCATGGTAAGCCCCGCCCACAGTGGGCGGGGCGTGCGTCCAAATTTAGCGGTGTCACTGAAAAAAGTCATAACTCGGTTCCAGGGCAGTCCCGAGATGAGGAAACAGTGCAGTAGTTAACACATTGGCGACAGCGCCCTTTTTCGCGTGTCTGCCGCGTGGGACAAAGCAGTTTTTCCCTATTTTTGACGAGTGCGCATAAATGCTAGGGCTTTTATGCACCAAAACAATTGAAGAATGATAAGAATTCATTGCAGAAGCTAGTAAAACTTCGCTACTTTCCATTACTTCCAAGATAAACCCGAAATTTCCATAGAATTCTCCCGCCTCATTCACGTGGGACGTGGAAATAGGGTCGCAAAAAAGGAATAATTTCGCGGCAGAGGTGGTAAATCGGATTCGATCCAGATCTGCTATTGTCGAAAGTTACTTTATCCCATTAGCTATCTGCTTGTGGAGCTCCAGTTCTACAAATACAAAAATTGCTTTTTTTTCCTAAGGAAATCACTTTCGTTTGCCTCCTTGGTAAAATACTCTCAATGACACAACTGCATTGTTTACACCTACTGCATATTATACAATGCCTTCCTCTATAATATGTAGCTGTTAAAAATTTGAAACGTATTCAAATTGGTCTTTTACACATGCCGCATCCCAGCAGTGGGACGCAATGTCCCACGTGGCAAAAAAGGTGCGTCCCAGCAGTGGAGCAATGTCGCCCAACGTGTTAACAAAGGCGTGGCGAAAAACAGAGGAACGCCACCCGAAATGGGCGGGGCGTGAAGTTAGATCGCGGTACTTCCCGTGCCCACTGAAAAAACGCTATTAACTTCGGGAAGCAACCCGGAGATGGGAAAAAGTAGAATAAGGCTAGCATTGGGTTGGCGGAGCAAATGGAGGAAACACACCCGAAATGGGCGGGGCGTGCTTGAGATGGGCGGCGCTTTCCATAAAGGTAGGTAACTCGGTTCCCGAAAATGTTTAGAGGTCGCAGAAAACTCCATGACGAAGATGAACGTCTGTCAAGAGTCCACCATGTTTGCGGTACTAAACCGCCCACAGTGGCGTGCGTGCATTTCAACAACCTGACGGACATTGCCTAAAAACCGCACTAATAGCACTACAGGATGCCGGCAAAAAAGTGCATTATGGCCCCCAAGTGGTCACATGCAGAAATGTGCGGGGACGCCGCTGTGGGCGGAGCCTGCCCCAAGGTGGGTGGAGCCAAACTTAAAAAATTCGCAAAACGCTTCCAGAGCACTCCAGACACACCGGGAAAAAGTAGTTTAAGGTCATCGAGGGGTCATTGGTTGAGAAGCGCGGGGCATACGTTGTGGGCGGGGCGTGCCCAGAGGTTGAGCCAATTTAAAAAATCGCAGAAGTTCCAGAACTCTAGACCCCGGAAAAAGTGTTAAGGTCATCCGAGTCGTAAGTTGAGAAAGCGCGCAGGCATTCGTGTGGCGGGAGCGTGCCCCAAGGTGGGTGGAGCCAAACTTAAAAAATTCGCAAAACGGTTTCAGAGCACTCCAGACACCAGGAAAAAGTAGTTTAAGGTCATCGAGGGGTCATAAGTTGAGAAGCGCGAGGCATTCGTTGTGGGCGGGTGCCCCAAGGTGGGTGGAGCCAAACTTAAAAAATTCGCAAAACGCTTCCAGAGCACTCCAGACACTGGGAAGAAGTAGTTTAAGATCAGCGAGGGGTCACCGGTTCACAAGTGTCAGGCATACCTGTCGTGTGTGGAGCGTGCGTCAAGGTGAGCGGGACCAGCCTTAAAAACTCCTCAAGCGGTTCCTGAGCACTCCAGGCACTCCAGACCTCTATGTGATACGGCCCGCTTTGCGGGGCGTCGCGCTTACCTGCATTCGTATGATCAAATGCTCGACTAATACCCGGCTTTTCTCTCATCTGCCCACTTCAATCAACGCTCCGTGCCACCACTCCATTCACTTAATGTGAAAGTAGCGATGCTATTGGTCAAGGAATGTTGACC